AAAGGTAGCTGGGTACTGGTATAAAGAGAACAAATATTGGTAATGGTCGATATTTTATATTAAAGTTTCATGAGTTTCATGTATGTATAATGTATATTTTATTGCATCGTTCAAGCAGATTTGAGTTTATTTTTGGTATGTATTTGTTCTTGTGTACCGTCATGAATTTATGTCAGAACTAATAAGTTCTTCCGGAGTTGATACAGCCGGTTTACAAAAAAAAAAACAGTGATTCGCACATCTAGTTTGGTATAACTCGGAATGGATAGATAATTAGATGAAAGTGGAATCAATACTTCAGTGTGTAAAATAGTAAATATTTTATTAAAATTAAAAAGCGATCATCAAAGCCATCGTCTAGTTTTTTTTTTCAACAAATTTAAATTTACAGTATAGAAAATTAAGTTAACAACAAGTAAAAATGACACAAAAAGTAACAATTAAATGAACAAATGAACAAATGAATATTACTGAACTAAAATAAAAATAAATGAATTAAATTAAATTAAGTTTATTTTAATTTAGTTGTTGAGATTTCCAAAGTGTTTTAAATAATGGGTAAAAATTACAGTTTAAGTGAATTTGAGTATCTAGGCAATTACCAAAATTCCGGCTCATCTCACAGAGGATCTCCAAATCCTCCAGTAGGTCCATTTTTTAAAGTTGTTCACTGGATAATTTCTAAAGAGTTTTTAACTGTGAATAATTTTTGGCAAGGGGTGTTGAAACTGACAACTGGTGTCATCGAAATATCTGGTTTGTGAATTTTAAAAAGTCAATAAAGGCTAGGTGCACTCTGTATATCACATGGGAGTGAGGAAATTGTTTTGTATACATTATTTTAACGTTCTACAGAATAAACGCAAGATGAAATGCTGAGTGTATCTCAACAGCCTTATATATACAAAAAAAATGTTTTAGAAAAAAAATATATTTAGGAAAAATTAAAATTTGGTAAAACTGTCATATGTAATTTTACATGTAGATTCCATAAAACAAAGTATAAAACATTTTACTTAATGGTATAGCCATTGTGTTAAGTATAAGTGTCAATTCTAAATCATGTCTAGTATGTTTTTTTCCAAATTTCATGTAAATTGCTTAATAAATAAAAGAGGTACTAACGTGGCCCTAGTCTTATTCAGAGCTGCGCATAGTACTGTGTTAAAGGACTCTTGAGTATTTCATAATTAGTAGCTTTACAAAGTACTCCTAAGTATCTGAGTATTAGTACATATATTATGAATAATACTGACGGTTAGTATGATTTTGAAAATTAATGGAATTATTAGGTAGGTTTTAGAAAGATTGTAAGAGGGTTTTAGAATTTTCATTTGGGAAATTTTAGGGTCGGTATTTTCACCTTCAGATAAAGTTCCAGTTAACTAACCAATGGATATATTATCCGAGAGTTACTATCTTACAGATAATTAGGTTTCCGTCTTTTCAAGAGAAATAATCTGTAGGGTAGTTATCTGGTACTTTATAACGTTCTGTGGTCATGTATCTACCTTCATATCAATGCGATATGTCACTCTCACTTGTTGTCCTTATTTCGTTCTGTCACTTATTTGATAGAGGTTTTTGTATTTTTCTGAAAATATTTGTTATTTAAAACTCCATAAAAAGAAAAGATAGATCGACCAACTTTTAATAGGCAAGATGATGCTTGAAACACAAAGCAGTACTGCAAAATAAAAAATGTTTCTGGGGTCTGTTGTATTGTAATTAATATAGATTGTTCATTTAAAAAAAATCAATTTTTTACAGATTGTTTAATATTTATCTTCACAACTGTTTGTATACGACTGACTGCTCCGTGTTCTTCCACCAATATTTATATACACATTTAAAATTTTGTGAAGGTTCTAGAATGTTCTCAGCAATTCTTACCAACACTAGTAACATTATCACGTTCAATCTGGAATGTTCTCGAAAGTGCCTTCGCCATAGTCGTCACATATGCTTGGTCTTAAGGGGTTTAATTATGTATGATAATCAGATAAGTTAAGCCTCAAAGGCCAAATGAGACAGAGAGGGACTTGGAGGATTAGAGCATGACTGAATAATGAAATGGCTCGTTACATTGCCCCTTCCTTAAGAGATAGTTTCTGCTGGAACTCTTACGAAACTAAAACGGAATAATTGTATCTGCAACTGAACCCTCTTTTACAATTTCCAGTATCATGGAAGTAACAAGGGACTGTCTTTGATGTAACCTGGACACTGGGCGAATGGCTGCAGACCAGTATTTGGCCTCCGGTATCTTAAAAGAATACTTCTACCATGTTCCTAATTATTCTCCAATCCAGCTGATTTCCCTCTATCTTCGGCATGGCTAGTTTCTGTATATTGGACAACAGTACTAAGTTATATTTCCCATACATCATAATAAGTGGATCGATCTCGGAAGGTGTTCTTTGTTACCAGATAGAAAAGGTAGCGCGATTCGTCTTGAAGTTTCAAGGCTTTCCAGGGGTTGGTAACTGACATTGAAATTCTAGTAGTCGACTAAACTTCTTACGGAACACATATATCAGTCGTCGCGCGTCGTTGATACTGGAGGAAGTACTATGGACCAGCGAGTAGTCTTTTGGAAGCAAGAGCAGATCTTTATCGGTCGTTTTTTCAGTACCTCCATATGCACCCATAAATTCTTCAAATACAAGGTCAGGTGTTTCTTGAAGTTGGATTACTTATTCTTCATGGTCACCCTCAAATGGCGCCAGCCTGTTTTGATGCACTACCTTCGGTTTGCCCGGTAAATTACATCATTAATTTTATTCTTGATAAGGTACGGACCTTCCCAATACCTTTGAAGCCTAGGAGAATAACCCTTTTGTCTTTTTGGGTTATGGAGCTAGACTTTGTCGCTTCTTTGAAACATCCCTCTCTGGCTTGGGTATCGTATCGCTTGTTCATTCTGTCGCTGGTGATTTGAAGATCGAGCGAACTAATTCATGCATATCGTCCATTCTTCTTCGTAACTGGATCACATAATCTTCATCAGCTACATATTCTCCAGGTCGGCATCCAAACTTGAGGTCGCACGGTAATCTCATCTCACGCCCTAACAGGACCTTTGCTGGTGTTTAGCCTGTTAATTCATTAACAGCGGATCTATAAGCCATTGCAAAGAGCGAAAGATACTGATCTCAATCTCGCTGATGGTTTAAAACCACTTTTGACAGATATTTGCAAATGGTCTTATCGATTCGCTCTACTATTCCATCGGATTTTGGGTGAAATGCTGTGGTTCTGGTTTTCTTAATGCCCAGTCTGTCACGGATTCCACGGAAGAGTTGGCTTTCAAAATCGACAGATAAACTCTTTTATTAACACATCTGCAGCAACAGTTGCGGACTCTTGATTTGGAATGGCATAGACTTCCATCCACTTTCAAAAATAATCCATAACCACCAAAATGTATTTATTACCATCCTCGGTCGCGGAGAATGGTCCAGCAATATCTAAGACGATCCTCTCAAATGGGCTACCAACGTTGTATTGCTTCATGGATGCCTTCCTTTTTCGTTGAGGTCCATTACTCATGGCACAGGTGGTACATTTCTTAAGGGGAAGTAAACCCAATAGCAGATCGTAATACAGCGGTTAAAAAAATAAACGCATTCCGAACGATTGACAAACCATTCCAGAACTAAAATAAAATATCCAAAAATATTTTTAAAATACGTATTTTTTAAATCTATATAACTTTTATTTAAAACTTGTTTGCATGTTAATAACACAAATATTGATCAATTATGCACTAATGGGCGCGTCGGTACTCGTATTCGTTACTCGTAAGCTGTAAGAACCACTGTAAAGTACTAGAAATTTTTCGAGTATGAGTCCCATCAGAATGAAAGTACTTACGAGTACCAATCACTGGGTGCGTTCACCAGACGGCAACAGTTGAGTTGTTGAGTAAGCGATCGCGTTCGGCAGACACGATGACTTTACGCTGAATGTCATCTGCTGCAAATTTCACCCAGTGCGATGAATTTGCGCTGAGCCGACTCAACATATGTTTAGACATGCGCAGTGAGATGACAGTTCATTGTTGCGCGTGCTTTTTTAATTTTTAAAACGTACATATTATGAAAACTAATACAGAAAATTTGTCAACCTACAGTTTGGTGTTTTCACTGTTTTCTGACGAGGATCAGCATCAGCCAATAATTATAAGGTTATGTTCAACAGTCTAATCTGACAGTTTTGTGACAGACAGAGACCCAACGGTCAACGGAGCGTTCAGCCAATTTCCATCTGCTGCCGGATGTTAATGCCCAGCCGTTTAGCGCTTAAAGTTAACTACTGACGTCTGGTGAACGCACCCACTGAGTCCTTTAAGTACTCGAGTACAATTTTGAGTACGATTTACTAGAGTACTGCCCAGCTCTGGGCTCATTGTCATCTGGTATACAATATTTTTTTAAATGTTCCTAATAATTTCATATTAAGGAAAATAACAATCAAAAAGTTATTAAAAAGTATGTTACACCATAAATACTGCAAGACTATAGGTTAATAAACTTTATTAATGTACTAATAAGTTTACCGAAATGTTGCAACAATCGAATTTATGTTGCAAACTTATACAAATATGCAATAGTCATTAATTAAAGGTTTGAACCATCCACAATTGAATTATTAAGTTAGATGTTCTTATAAAAGCAATTAATTGTAATAATTTGTAGAATATAGTAGTTTGTGTAACAGGAGTGGATGTAATGGTCATATCGAAGGAACCCGATTCAAAGTTCGATACCGACAATCCACCCAAGTTGTACAGTATATTTTTCAACGACCCTTAAAAAAATTAACACATTTTTATATTGACACAAAGTTTTGAATTTACGAATTTACTAATTTGTAAAATTCTCTCTTCAAATTATCAAATTTATCAAAAAGCAGAAATTGGAATGCCACCTATGAAAATTAATAATTATTAGCATAAATAATCATAAGTATTAAATTGTTTTATTTATTTTTTTCAGAACCATCAGACACGGACAAGGCGCCATCATCACCGACAAGACGAAAACTACCTAAAACGCCGGTATAAATTCCAGACATATTATAATACATATCTAACTATTGCGAAGCGACTGAATTTACTTATATTTATATTACTGTATATAAATATATTTGCTGGAAGTACAATAACTAATTGGATCAAAACAAAGCAAATGGCACAATCATGATATTAATAGTTCATAAAAACGTATCCAATATGGAGTAAAGTAGGTTTTGTACTTTACTACTCACAATTTTATTTTTTGGCTCTATTTATTGTTCTAAGGTAATAGTCTAGGCATCTAAGCCACAAAAAGTTTTGGTAGAGTTTTGATATTTGAGAAATTTACACGTTTTTTGGTTCGCTGAACACGAATCTGTCAATAACAATTTTCCCTGGATACATATTTTTTTTTAAATAAAAATCGTGTAAAAACCGGACTTTTTCTGTCCAAAACTATGCATTTTACGTTAAAGTTGGCCCTTATAAAACATTATAAAAGTTTCCCGTGCTATATTTTTTTGCACAAAAAATGGATACCTAAGTAAACAATAAAAAAATTATGCAAACAATTATTAGAATCACATAAAATGCAACAAAAACTTAATTCCAGCAGAATATAAAAACTCATATAATTATAACTATGAAGACTAGAGAGAAGGAGGCAAATCGGCAATGGTCAAATTTCAAATTTCCGTACTTCTTTTTATAAAGTTCGCGAAATTGACTCTAGGTGACATGTCTAATGACAGCGCAGTCAATTTTCTATGTAAGTCAATGTAAAATAAAGTGATTTTTTAAAAAATTGATGAAAAGAATCAAAAGAATGTGAAAAAAAGTACCTGAGTACAAATAACATGAGTGACAAAAAACATCAAAGCAAGATTTACGTCGTTTCAGATTGTAAAACAGGATAAAATCAAATGTAAAACTAAATAAAACACAAGAAGATATCAATTCAATGTCTTTTTAAAGCTTTTAATGTAAGTAAAATAATGTATTCATGTCTAAATATAATTTTTATTGTAAACTAGTCACAATATGTATCTTACGAAGTGTAGTTTATTTTAAGTTTCTATAATATAAAATTTTACAGTTATAGATGCTGACTTACAAACAATAATAATTATGCATTAAATTTAACTTAAAGAAAATTTATTTTTTTTTTAGAGTTTTAATGTTATATAAAGAGTTGCTACTGTTATTTTTTTTTGGACCCCAGTTGTGTCATTGTAAATGTTTTTATAGGATACTAAACGTTTAGAACAGTGGCAGCATAAATATCATTCCTAGTGCCGATAGAGCACTTTCTAGAGATGATGCTGTTCTATACTTTTTAGAAGATATTATCAAATATAAGACTATTTTACTGATGGTACTGTTAGCAAAATAAAAAGGGGAAAGCTGAAATTAAATGATGAGGTAATACCATGTACATTCCCAAATCTCCCTTTATACTTGTATTACAACAATAAAAAATCTGTTAACTGTGTTTTATTTTACTCTTAAAACTATATATTGGTTCAATTCAAAAAAAAATTTGCCACAATTGTACTTATCAAATTTCAGCAATTAAGAAACCTTTTCGAATTTGGTAATACATACCAAATTTGTATTTTATAAAATTAAATAATGTATCAATTAAAACATGCAAGACTTATTTAGAAATAAATACAACAGTATGTTCTGTGCTTTATTTAACTGTAAACAAGTTTATTTTTATTATTTTGACAAAATTATATATAATTCCCATAAGAAGCCATGTATTTTGAACAACGTATGCAGTACCAGCGCCCATGCGGTTAATTATAGAAGCTCAATTAGTATGCATTTTTTGGGACCGTATTTTGAGTATGCCGATTTGTCTCCTTCTCTCTAGTCTTCATAATTATAACATATGAGGTGTACCTAAAAATATTCAACTAAATAAGTAAAAATCGCCTATCTTTTCGTTTACTTACATTTTTCGTCTGAATTTATTCCTAACGAAAATTGTAATCATATCGTCAGATGAAATCGAATAAAACTGCTAAATAGTTCAGTTTGCTTTTGAACACAATTGAGCCTAAATAAGAAAAATCATTGCGTATTTCCATTGATTTGTAAATTTATAAAACTATTTCGATATTAGAAAAAATATCAAACATATTTTGATATTTAATCCAGTTGCACATATTTACATGTGTTTCTCTTCTAGTAGCAAATACTTTTTAAGGTTTAACATCTTTTTAACTAGATCGTGTGAAATATCCTATGAACAGACTTCACATAATTTTAATGATTTACACTCTATTTCTACAACAGAGAGTACTAGTTTTTGCTTTTAATGCCCATAAAATATATAAAATGTAATAAGTTGCGTATCTCATTTAGACTTTTACACGTTTTTTTGGGCAAATTTTTATTGGCAAACCGCAGATTCGTGTTCAGCGACCAAAAAAACATAAAGGTAGCAAATAAGCAAATTCTACCAAAATTCCGTCAAAATTTTCCTTTTTTTAAACGTCCCTTGGTTCTCGAAAAATTGGTCTAAAAAAATATAGTCTAAAAGATTTTAGTCTAATATTAATTGATCTAAATATATTTTATCTAATAACAAATTGGTCTAAATTGTATTTGATCTAAAACCTGTCTAAATTGCATTAAAACTAAAAGAGCATTGGTCTAAATTACATTTGTTCTAAAAACAATATTATTCTAATTTCTATAATTTAATATTTCGCACTTTATATAATTTAATAATTATTTCAAAAAAAAAAACGTTGGAGTTGGTAAAATAAGTTTGAAAATAAATTTTTTTTAAGACATCGAAATTAGAACAAATCGTCGCCATTATCACGAAGTGACCTAACCAACAAAAATTGAAAAAAATGTTTTTTTGTGCGGATTAACTAGTCTTGACCTTCTTTATCATCTCACGAAGTGGCAACATTAATAGTGCATGCAATACAGCATATTATTTTTGTGTCCTATCTGCAATAACGCATAAATATGAGATTTACGTATTTTCGTTAAATTGCTGTAAAATTTACTATTTGTCACTTATGCCACTTCGTGATGAGGGCGACGAAATGATCGAAATCGCATATGATCAAAATTATAAGATGAAAAAACAATGAAAAATGATAATAAACAACATGTGAAGACGTCAACTAATAAGGGCAAAAATCTTGTGAGAAAATAGAGATTTATCCTAAAAGCAGTTCCCGTTTAAATTAAGACACAATGGGGTCTATTCTGTAAAAATTCCTTTATGTTTAACGGCCTTTAAAAATATTTTCTTCTTTACTTCTGTCATTATTTAAACGGATCTTTAAAATACATTAGAGTACTATCTTAAAGAAATCTGTTTAAATAATGACAGAAGTAAATTAACGAATACAAATATACTTTTAAAAATATGTTTGTATTCGTTAATTTACTTCTGTCATTATTTAAACAGATTTCTTTAAGATAGTCCTCTAATGTATTTTAAAGATCCGTTTAAATAATGAGAGAAGTAAAGAAGACAATATTTTTAAAGGCCTTTAAATATAAAGGAATTGTTACAGAATAGACCACTAAATGAATGAACTAATTCTCTATAATATTTCTACCAACTGTTCATCGTTAAATTTATTAAAATCACAGCTTGGCACTATCCTTCTAATACGTTATTTAGTATCCTTATATTTTTTCGTGCAGTTGTTGCCATCTTGAGTCTGTTCTTTTATTATTTTTATCTTGCAAATTTGACAGTATTTATTTAATATTTATACTATACTGGGTTTCCTTTTATATCAGTTTAACACCAGAAATTTTTCATATTAAATTGATAGTTTTTATACTTAGATATTGATTAGTTTTTAATAATTGTATTGTTAAATTTTGCTAAATTGGTGGTTTCCTTATATTATAGAGCAGGGGTCTCCAAACTACGGACCTTGCGTCAAATCTGGCCCTCTAGTATCATCAATCCGGTCCGCGACAGCTAATGGCTTATTGTTGCTGTGATGAGTTAAATAAAAAAAAATGATATCTCTAATTTAATTACTTGCTATGTATAGCTTAATGAAAGTATAATACGCAGAAAATTTAACTTAAGCATAATAATTAACAAATAATTGAACTAAATCCCACTAACATGATTTTCCACTGGACAATAGTTTGTAGTTATGTGCCAATTTTACTTGTACCAATTATTAAAAGAGATTTAAGATGTTTATCGGTTAACTTAGATCTGTAAACATTCTTTGTGTACTTTATTTTGGAGAATGTTTTCTCACACAAGTAAGTAATACCAAAAATAGAAAATATCCCACGAGCAAATTGTACCAGTGGAAAACTTTTGAAATATTCCAACAAAGATGAGTTTTGATATTTGTTATTAATTATATCACTGCATTTGAATTTCAGAAACGAGTATCAAAATTTATCTTCAAAGCACTAAAAGCTTCGATTGCAAAATCGACGGGAAACTCAATCTCAGTAGTGTGGCTGAATATTTCACATGTTTTAAAATGTGTGGAACATAATTGTGATTAAAACAGTATTATTTTCTGCCGGAACGATTTGATATTAGTATATAAATACGAAAGAAGCGGGTTTTCTCCTTGCAATCTCAAATTCAGTTCGTTCATATGTTTTGTCAAATCGACAAAGAATGCTAACTTCGCCATTCGCTATTTTGTAATTCGGTTAGAGGGCCCAAGGTTTAAAAAAGCGCTGATGGACTATCCCGCAACTAAGCCAGCGTACAGCAGTAAGATGTGGTAAGTCATTTTCTCCCATCTCTTCAATAAACTCGCGGAATTGTCATAGATTCAGCCCAGTGGATCTGATGAAATTAACAACTGATATGACTGGTTTTAAAACTTCAGACATATCTAAACATGTTCCGCACAAGGACGGTTGATGAATGATACAATGTAAGATTAATAGTTTTGAACCACCAATCCTTTATTTTTACCACACATGTGTTTTTTTTCCATCTGTTGTAATTGATTTCAAGTTTTTCCATCAAAGATTCTTTTTAGTATTGGCATTTTCAACTCCCTTAAAAA